CTCCGCGCCCCCCTCCCCTCCCCCCCAAAAAACCCCCACTGAGGGGGCGAAGGAAGACCTTCTTTCCCTCCCCCCTCCCTTACGCTATTTGCGTTAGCATTCGGGCTCGACCGACCCTCCTGGCGAAGAAAGCGAGCCGCAAGAAGGCACCGACCTGGCCGGGGAAGGGGCTGCCCCCCCAAAGGGCCGCCGACCGTGGCCTAGCGGGGCCGCAACCCAAATATCAGCGCCCGCAGAGACCGCTCGAGCCCCCTCTTTTGTTTACACTCGTTCGCCAAGCAACGAGGGCATCTCCTTGGCCGCGGACATCGAGCGGGCGTTTTCCTCAGGAGCGGCCGGCGTCTTGGGCTGCCTCCAGCGCCCCCTACCGGCGCTCCTGCGAAGTGGGGCCGCGCTTCCCCGCCGACATGTGGTTTTCCCAGAGGCTAGAGGGGAAGAGTGTGTTCTTCCCCTCGGATAGACTTTTACAAACTGCATATCCCTTTGCTGCCACAGCGTTGCAGAGCTGCAAAAAAACATGGCTCCTGGGCTTGCATCCTAGTGGATTTATAAAACAAAATAAATGCCAGTTCACCGCGCTCGAAGAATGAATCACTGAAACCATACTTAATTCATAGCACCACTGTAGTGCAAAACCATAGACGTAAGGCACAGATCCCCTTATATGAGCTACATGTGGAGAAATGCTGTGTTTCACAAAACTGTTAAAAGTGTGCTGTTCTCATAGATGTGCTGTTGTCTCTTAGGCAGCTGCTCCATCCTGGACGAATAACTTTCCCAGCAAGATTCTGACATCTACACAGCCACCATGATCAAATCATGGCACACATTCATGCCAATGGACCTGGCCATGAGGGCTGCAGATTTGGGACCTTGAGACCCAGGTCTTTGCATGCCACAGTGCAAAGATCCTGAGCTTGGGCACGGAGTCCCTAGGTTATCCATAATCTTACAATTAACTCTACAAAGATCGGAACCAAGTCACAACTGACTTTTTTTTAACATTTATTCCTCCATCATAATAAACATTAATAATTGCCTGCTATTGATTCTGACTTATGGTGACCCTTTCCAGTATTTACTAGGTATGCAGTGTTCAGAAGTGACTTGCCATTCTCTTTTTCAGGGGCACCTAGGCCTGTGCAGCTCTCCCTGGACTATACAGGCCGGCTCTTTTCCTGGCTGACAGAATGGGGGGCTAAGCTCTGCCTCTGCAGTAAACTCACTCAGCTAGCCATCCAGTCATAATAAATATAGTTCCACTGATTTGTTACAAGATGTCCAAATAGGAATTTAAGCCAAAACAGGAATTCAAGGATTCTCTTTTATCTTGACTGTTTCCCTTCTTCTCAGGCACCCTGGAATTGTGCTGCTTGCCCAAGGGTAAACAAGCTGGCTCTTCTGAAGGATGATACAATGGGGAATTTCTTTCTGTTATGTAGTTTGTGGGCACACATGGGATCTACTCGGCAGTGGCATGTTGAGGATCCCGTGTGAAAATCACGAGGATCTCTGAGGAACTGTGCCTTGGATCAGCGTTTTTGAATCACAATAAAGACATGCTCTGATGGATCCATGATGGATCCAGGATTTCTGTCCTTTTTGTAGAAACCAAAGGGACGTATAATTTCAGTGGTTTGAAACCTATCCCACATTTTAAAAAATCACGTGGATCCATGAGGATCCAACCTCTCTGATCCATGTTTTTGTACCACTACAAAGCCATGTGCCAAAGGACCCATGATTTCTGTTTCGATGTACAGGCAGAGATAGAACTCCATGGTGGTATGGCCAGGGTTCCATATAAAAACATATGAAACCGTAAGGATCTTTTTTTTTATTTCATGGATCTATGTTTTCCCTTTCTTCCAGACTGCAGCTAAACTGAGAAGGAACAAAGGCTTTGGGGATGGAGGGAGGGCAAATAATGCCATAGTCGTTGCTACACATAGCTCTCAGGCTGTGAGCTGGGGGCCCCTGAAATCTCAAGGTGTTTCATTGCTTCCCCACATCTTCAGATGAAGAGACAAATCTCAGAGTGAATAGAGGTGGGAAGACAAAATTTGGGTTTTTAAATATGTGTTGCCTTTAATATCTCGGCCCCCATCTCCTTTTCATTTCCAGCTGCCCTCAGAGGTCCCTAGCTGTGTGTCATGATGTTTCTACATGTTATATAAAAAATGGGCAAAATCCTGTTAGTATAGTCAGACACAACTAGGGTTGCTAGATACATGTGTAACAAAAAGGAGGACATAGAAAGCCAAAAAGGAGGAAAAAGGACATATTGGGGGGACTCTGTGCACGGGGTGGGGAGCATGTCACTTTTGGAATTGGATATTGGGGAGAATACCTCTTTGATCATGGGGCAATACCATAACCATTCAACCTACTCAGTCTTGAAAGGTCAAGACTGGGAAAGTTACATTTTTTGGACTACAAAACTCAGAATCCACTGGCAACCGTGTTTTCGTGTTTTAAAAAATGTTTAAAAATAAAAACAAAACAAAACAAATCTACATATACACTTACTGGGCTCCCAGGACCAATGGAGACAATCTATTCCTTCCTTTAATGAAGTCCCATTCCCCCTTGTTTTATTTATTGATTTTTTAAATAAAAGCATAATAAAGTGAAATAAAAAGTTTAAAAAGTTGTGTGAAAGATTTGAAACACCTTATAAAAACCAGGAAAAAAACAGAAGGCATGGATTTCTCTCAGCTTGAGAATGCAAAGGGTGGAGAAAATGGATTTGCAGACACACACATACACAAAGCCATTTTCTCTACCCTTAGCAATTTCTCAAGCTGAGAGAAATCCGCTTGTTTGTGTGTATGTGTGTGTTCCAGCTCCCACAAGCATAGGAGATAACTCTGCATATGCTCCTGGACCTGGAAATGCACTCTGCACATGCCCCAGGGTCTTGGGGGGGTCAGGGCAGAAGGGGGGATAAAAGTGTCTCTGTTCCCTGGCTTTAGGAAGGAGGGGGGACCGGACTGGCCCCTATGTCCCTGGCTTTGAACTGCCACCCCCTCCAAACCCCAGAACAACCTCCCCTCCTGCAGGCAAGCAAGTGCACTCACTTTACTCCTGTCCATTTCCATCCATCCCTCTCGCACCTTCCTGCCTTATTAAGCTCCAGGAAGAAGCAGCCATCCACAAGCCAGGGATTGATTACCCAGGGCTGTCAGCCCTAAACAATCAAGCCACCTTATCTCCAATCTCTAAAAGAACTGGAGGATTTACAAGAGGAGGATTTACAAGTGCCACAACCAAGGAAGTAACAGGGAGAGGTTCAGCTGCAGGGGGTGGGGGAGGGGTGGAGGTACAAAAGCCAGCCATTTTGAAGTGTTTCAGTTTTGCCTGCCAGATGGAGGACATGATCCTGAAAAGTAGGACATGTCCTCCTTTTGCCGGACATCTGGTAACCCTAGCTACAACTAGAGTAAACTCACTGAATCAGTGGGAATTTGGTGAGAGCTTTTTTGTAGTTCCCGTCATTACAAATGGGCCATCTCTAGTTATGACTTACTAAACAAGAGGATTTCAGCCCATATTTGTTTTAATGTAATAAATCCACTTTGTCTCATTTTTTAGGGACACATACATATGCACAGATTATACTACAAAGTTTCATTCTCTCCCTTTTGTTCTCTCCTTTTTCCATCTCAGGTTTCGGTCCTGATTGGTCCTGACGTCTCAGGGAATCGAAAGATGCTGAGTTGACAAATCTATTAAAAAATTCTTTCCCCCAAGGAATACTGTGAGTGCTTTCTGCTTCAGTTATATTCACAGGAGGTATTCATGCAAACATACTACAAAGAGGCAGTCCCTAAATAAACTCTGCCAGCTGTTTGGGACCAATGAGCAAAACAGCAAGATGAACATACCAGCCTATGCACTAAGAGACTCTAAAAAAAGGAGTTGGGGTGGATTCCCCCCTTGCCCCTTCACTTGCAGGGGTTTTATAAGCACAGAGCTGCTCAAGCATTTGGTGTGTTCAGTAATTACATTAGCAGCAAGGAATATGAATGGTTTATGCATCTCCTGCTAAGATTAGGGACGCTGAATTATTTTCTTAAACTTGGATGGATTGTGCATGGATTGGGGAGAGACAATGCAACAGTAAAAAGAGCACCTTATGTTTATGGAGAAAGTCCAAGCTTAACCCCAGGAAAAAGTTCTGTTAGCAATTTTCTTGGCAAGGAGGATCTCATTAGCTCAGGTTTTTAACGTTCTTTTAAAGTCTGTCAACTTCCTTTTCTTTTTTGATATGGCGGCCTCACCTTTTGTGTGTGGTTTTAATGCCACACTCAATGCCGTCTATTACATGCCTATTTTAAACTTGTACAGTATATCAGGGGAGGATCCAAGGTAGACCTTGTAATTGTATTGTTTCAAGCCATTTCTTTACCGAATTACCCCCCCCCCCAAAAAAAATCTTCTTGGAATGCAGACAGCACTTTAGTATACAAATTATGGAACCAGAAGAGCTTGAACTGAAAGGATAAGAGCAGCAAAAGATCAATATTTAAAACTGTAGAAATTATAAGAAAATGCTTTTAATGTGAAATAAGACATAAAATATATTTATATTCTGCTAAAAGATCAGAATTTGGAGAAGAGAATATAGGAATCATATGTAAATCTGAAATCTGTACAGAAGAAAATTATCATTGTAACAGTAACATTGATAAAAGTGGTATTAATAGTATATGCATCGTACACGATGAAAAGGAATTTCTTTCATGTCTTCTCGATGATCCCGAGCAAAATCCCATAGATAGTAATCAAGGAGAACCGCATTGATCCTCTCACTCATGTTCTCGCCTTTCTTTTTATACAGGTCTAGCAAACGTTTGCAAATGAGCTCACAACACCAAATAGAACATCCTCGGATTTCTACCTCCTGTATGTCTCCAGACTGGAACATGTGCCCTGCAGAAAAATCAAGGCATTATGAAGATTAACATACATATGGAAAATAGAAAAGGACTCACGAGACACTGCAATTTCTTGCTTTAGTTCTGGTCAATCTTTGTTTAACATTTTCAACTTGAATTAGAATTGTTCTAGTTAAGTTTATTCCAAGGAACCAATCTGCAAAACAGATATACTGCTGAACAAAGTAATCTGAAAAGAAAAACAGTCATATAGTTCATGAGCAAAACTGAAAAAGAGGATAATTTATTGGGCATTAAAATATTATTTAAGAGGTGAGCTTTGGGATCATCTACTTATTTAATATCCAATATGCTGAAGAGACCTGGAGGACTCGAAACACTTGCCATTTAAATGATATTTTAGTGGTCATTGAGAGTATTAGCCAGCCTCCATTATTGGCAGGTAATGACACTTTCCTCCTGGGAGGAAAGTGATGACAAACCTCGACAGCATCTTAAAAAGCAGAGACATCACCTTGCCGACAAAGGTCTGCATAGTCAAAGCTATGGTTTTTCCAGTAGCGATGTATGGAAGTGAGAGCTGGACCATAAAGAAGGCTGACCACCGAAGAATTGATGCTTTTGAATTGTGGTGCTGGAAGAGACTCTTTAGAGTCCCCTGGACTGCAAGGAGATCAAACCTATCCATTCTAGAGGAAATCAACCCTGAGTGCTCAGTGGAAGGACAGATCCTGAAGCTGAGGCTCCAATACTTTGGCCATCTCATGAGAAAGACTCCCTGGAAAAGACCCTGATGTTGGGAAAGTGTGAAGGCAAGAGGAGAAGGGGACAACAGAAGATGAGATGGATGGACAGTGTCATTGAAGCTACCAACATGAATTTGACCAAACTCCAGGAGGCAGTGGAAGACCGGAGGGCCTGGCGTGCTCTGGTCCATGGGGTCATGAAGAGTCGGACACGACTCAATGACTAAACAACAACAACAATGACACTTATATAGCAGGGCTGGAAAAATGTAGTTTCTCAGATGGTAAGTCACTGAGTCTAAGAGTGAGGGCTCCAAGAGTCTTTTCACCCAGGGAACTTGAGCTATTAATGCCGAAAGGTGTCCTTCCTATCAGTTGGGATGCAAATCACAGACAAATGTAATACAGAATATACATATCCTCCTCTAAAACTGGAAATAAGAAACTAACACCTTTATTGAACTACACCTCCCATCATCCTGACAACTGGGTGTGCTGACTGGATATGATAGAAACTGGAAGTCCAAAAGCATCTGGAGGGCCATAGTTTCCCCACCCTCGCTGAACGGGATTCTAGGCTTGGCTACTGTGTGTTAGAAGAAGAATTGCTAATCAACTGAACCAGTAAAAATTTTATCTCTGCAAAAGCTAGAACTTAAAAAAAAATCCAACAAATGTGTTTATGAAAATTCAGACAATGTAAAACTTTTTGATGATCCTGGATGTTTTCATACCTTCCTTGAGTTTCTTCATGAGTTCATCAGAATATTTCATTGCCCCCAAGTGAACGAGGACCTGTGGTATCCTATAGTCAGCAAATATAGTTACACTGGAAATATCGCTGAAGCAGCCGTCTCCTTTCCCTTCCAACACACTCCAGGTGTCAGCGACAAGAATTTGTGCCCGTTTGTAGAAAGCCACTTTTCTACCCTGAAAGACAGAAGAGGAAGAAAACTAATTGCAATGTGCTGAGATTGATTTCAAGAAGCTACAGTATGGAGGTGTTGATCCTTGCCTGCAACAGTGGGAATTACTGTTGCCCACACTCTCAAAAAGCAACCTCACGGCTTCTATGCGCATCTCACACAGATTTTGTTAATAAAGCTGCAACTGCATTTCTGGCAAAGGGCTTATTATCATCATTTTTTTTTACCCATTAACACTTACATTCTACCTTTCCTTTGGTGTGCACTGCTGTCTTCCACAAGAAAGCGACTGGTCCAAGGTCAGCCAGTGAGTTTCAGGACACAGTGAAGGGCTTGAACCTGTATCTCCCAAAACCCAGTTCATCTACAACACAACTGGCTCTCTAGGACTTGTGTGTATGCTGTTTTACATTTACGTTTCTATTTCCTTGTACGTAATGGATTTTTATTTAAAGCTACAAAAAAAGGTCATATACAGAACTGGATGTATTCTGAAAAATGGCACCGAATGTTCCAAATGATCTCTCTTCAGCTCTGCAGATATTCTATTTTCAAATGGTTCTTCTACGCTACAGTCTCAAAATGATAGCATTTGAATTGCCACATCAACATGTGATGTTTGTTCAATTATTCACAGAGCTGTTTGGGCTTTCTTTTTATGGCTCTGTGTATTTTTTCCCTTATTTTTTTTCTTCATTCTGTTCAACATCTCCCCTACACCACAGACAACATGTGAGCTATATAAAAGAAGAAGAAAATAATCTACAGTCAACACTAGCACTGTGTGTGTTATGGGTTGTACAGCCAAGTTATAATGACCTTAATAGGGCTTTCAAGATACGTAGGATATTTAAGGAGTAATGTTACCAATTCCACACATATACCGCAGTAAGTTTCTACAGCTGAGCAGGGGTTGAACCTAGATCTCCCGAGTTATAATTCTTCACCCTACCTACCACATCACACCACGTATCCATAGTCAACATTAATGGAGGGAATTACAAAACATTCCTGTTCCAATCCAGCCACCTCTCACACTGTTCTGGAGGGTTCCATAACCTTCTGGAGCAGGTATTTGGGAGTCCACAAGAAAGAAAGACTCGCAGGAGATCATTTCCTTCTCTGCCCCAGCAAAGCTCCACCACAGAAAAAAGTAAGCTCTTTCATTCTCTGGGAGAAAGGTTCCAGATCCAAGTCCACCACTGCAAAATGTTGCTTTTGGGGAGGACTAGAACTCCAGACACCCCCAGCTGCTGCCGCCACCAGCAAAGAGATTTTGGAAGTTTTAGTTCAAAAAAGGTAACACCAAGCTCTGCACACTATGCAATCATGGTGTGAAGTAAGGTATGTTATTCTAGTCCATGGCATTTCCAATACAGTCAAGCCCTCAGATAAACACTACAGCAACTGGCTTTTATTATGAAGACTCTGGAGATAAAAAGCATGTCTGAGGCAAACTATACAAGATTTCACACATCACCATGCAAAACAAACAGAAAATGCTAAGGCTAGTTTCCAAACAGTTTGTGAAAATTATATATAAATCAAGAGGGTTGACTTTCACATAATATGGGTAAGAGCAGGACATTAAATTATTACAATCTATTATCAAAATTATGATTTATTATAACATTATGATTTTTAATTATCAACATTTTATTCTGTATATGAATGTTTAGTAAAGTGGTGAAATCTATTTCACCATTTCTTTCTTACTCTCCTTGCCGATATGTCAGTGGCATGCTTTGCAAGATCTCAGTCTGTTGCTAGGGCAACTATCTTGACAATGTGAAGGGATAACCAGCATACATTTTGTTTTAATGGTGAAAATCTGGTCTGCCTTCAGAACCTATATAACCTGATCAAAGATCACAGCCAAAGATTCTCTTGTAAATTACAACCCAATTTTATACGAACTACATGGCTTTATGTCTGTCCTAAAGGATGTCATCAATTACCACTGCTTTTTAGTGAAGCTTGGCTTCTGAGAGCATCATATAAAAGAACACTATACCAATGCATTTTTAAATTATTTGGAAATACAGAGAGTATCTTCCACTGAAGAGTTTATCAACCTATTTTGGTAGGCTCCATACATCTTTTATCAGCTGCTTGATACTGTTACAAAAAATCAAAAACAAAACACACAGTCGAGCAATGTTGCTCCCCACACTTCCACTAAACCCAGGTAGGCTTACTACACAGCTGACCTAATAAACTCATGTTACAAAAATTAACTTATTTAAAACAACAACAATAATGATAATAATTGCTATTACTATTACTGAGATAGGGATGAATCTTGTTTTTTGGCCTGCAACTCCTAGAAATACAAAACCCCAAATTCCTCAAGGAGTTGTAATGCCAAGAAAGGAAGAGGAAAGGAAAGAAAAATGTGGGTTAGAAACCAAACTGTCCACCTCCGCTATTAGTACAAACTGACTCTTTGTGCTGTCAATAATTAATGTGGGGTTGCTTTTGTTAGTTCACCCTCAAGAAACTTAACTTCTGAAATAAAAAGAAAATATGAACATTTACAACCTAACATCTCAAACTCCACAATTGCAACAAATTAGACAGATTTGCCCGCACGTGGATCATGGAATGCCATCTCAAGTTAAAATTTGAACAGTGACAAATGGAATTATAAATGTATGCCCAGCAGACATAATGAGGTGTTCATATCCACAGACGACTAATACAAATTACTACATTTAAACAAGACATGCCACTAAGTTATAAATGAGCTGTGATTGTTCAAATACTTGTAAACAAAACAGTCTATACAGTAAGCATACTGTAATTTTTCTTCAATGTGATTTCATTTTCACTGTTAATATATAAATTATAAACTTGATTCAAGGATCATACTAAACACTGATTTGGTAAGTGTAAGGCTGTATATACATTTATATCTATATCTACACCTATACAGTGGTGCCCCGCATAGCGACATTAATCCGTTCCAGGATTAACGTCGCTATACGGAAACATCACTGAACGGAACAAAAAACCCCATAGGAACGAATTAAACCCTGTTTAATTTGTTCGTAGGGGGCAAAAACTCACTGTTCAGTGAAGATCTTCCATAGGGCTGCCATTTTCGGCACCTCGGTAAGCGAGGCGCGAAACGGGCGGCCATTTTGGAACCGCCGATCAGCTGGGCGGCGGGCTCTTGGGAAGGAGTGCGGGGACCTCCTCCACTCTCCTTCCCAAGTGCCGGCCGGCCTTTCCCCCCAGCTGGGCGGCGGGCTCTTGGGAAGGAGTGCGGGGACCTCCTCCACTCTCCTTCCCGAGCGCTGGGCGGCGGGCTCAAGCGGCGGCGGCGGGGACAGGGTAGGGGTGTCCCGAAGGCTTCCAGGCCTTTGCCTGGAAGCCTTTGGCA